CACGCACTGCGCGCCGCGCTGCGGGCATTCGATGCACGCTCCTGGCCCGTAACTATACACACTCTGTACACAGCGCGCCGCCCCCCTCCTGCACCACGCACTGCGCGCCGCGCTGCGGGCATTCGATGCACGCTCCTGGCCCGTAACTATACATACTCTGTACACAGCGCGCTACTGTTACGGGATTGGGAATTAGAAATTGAGGAGGAGACATATTGGGTCTCTGGTGACCTCACTCATGCGGCGAAACACGTTGTTTCACGTCGATTTTCTGTAAGGCTGGTATAACTCCCGCCTTAGGGAAGGCAAGAGAGTGTCCAACTCTTACTGACTAAAAACCAATCCCTCTGAACTTCTGCTTCAAACTGAAACCCTTTTCACCTCTCTTCTGTACCTATATCTACTTTTATTGTACTAATCTTCCCCCCCTCCCCCTCTCATACAGGAGCGCAACTCGTCGACCCTGTTACTGAGCGCACTGGTGCAGCGAGTGTTTGGAGTGCAGCGGACCTGTATGACGGGACGGATCTTCTTCCTGCGGTACCCACAGGTCTACGACTTCATGCTGGTACGTACTGCAATCAAATAATTATTGATCGACTTCAAACGACACAAGTCATATAATCGCATATCTCGTCACCCAAACACTTTGGCACAGGCACTAATGAACAAACACAAAGCAGTGCGTCGATTAAAGCGTAGAATACCACAAGATGTGATCCAAGCACGATAATTAAACAGTGTTTATGAAGAGCATGTGACACAGGTCATGCTGAAGACGCTAACTACAGTAACGTCCAACATACCGCTATATGTCCCAAAGAAGGCAACAGATTGTAGTATAAAAGGAAGGAAAAAAACTTAAAACGAAGAAGGGGGTTCTTAGTTTGACCTGTATGTATGTGTTTTTATCCGCGGTTATCTTGCAATTGGTTGAACCGATTTTGATTCAGTTTTAAAAAAGTATTCGTTACATCTAGGAGGAGGATTTTGTATATTAATAACAGAATTTATTGTAAGCGATTCCAAAAAAAATAGATTTAAGTCTGTTTTTTTAAACATAGGTTAATGATATATTACTCTAGAAATAGATTGCGAATTTTTACATTAAATTAATGAAACTATGTGACTGGCATTGCAGGAGAAGCTCCAGGAGGTGTCTAGTGAGGAGTCCAGTACAGTGCTGCGCCCCTCCCTGTACCCGGTACTACTCCTGCTGGCCAGGCTCTATCCTTCCTCGCTGGAGGGAACTGTCTCCAACCTCAAGGTAACACAGTCACTCATAGGCACTAATACACCGAGTACAGGAAGAGTAATGGGGGGTACCGTTGTTTTGTTCACCATACGGCAGAAATGTAGAGGTAGCAAAAGTTGCTGTAGCTGTCTAATGTTGAATAGTTAAATCCCTATTGGTCCCACCAGGTGAGCAAAAATACGGTACCCCCCCCCCCCACGTACCACTGAGTGAAATATATGGAACTGTACGTTGACGCGTACATCCACTATGCAAGCGGTGTGTCCCCTTCTAATTCTTTAGAGAACACCGATATTTCATTCACGCCATTGTAGAACTTATTTCCATTTCCCATGTTTAGAGAGTATACTACACTACTATTCACAATAACGTTAGACGTAAGTTAAAAAACTTATTTTTGGAGTACACTTTGTAATAAAAGTGAAAAATAGTTTCAAGAAGGTTTCAAGTTCAAGATCATGAAGGCGGAAATATAGAGCTTAGTTTTCCGGGTGTGTTGAAAATTAGCAATTTTGTAGATTTTTATGTGTTTTTTCCGAATAGCATTTTTGGAAAAATGGCGGCCAAAAACATTTTTTTAACAATATCTCTTTTTCTATCAATTTATTAGCAATTTACGAGTAAAAAGTGTGTACAAAATTAAACCATTTACTTTTTTCTACAATTTATGTCTAGGCAGCTATTTCTATAAAATTAGTAGATTTGGCGCCAGCGCGCTGCAAGGTAGGTCTTAGTGAGCATTTTGGAGAATAATTAATTTCCACACAACGTGGACGATGCGGCGCGTTTTTTTAATAGTGTACTAATAGAAGCAGGGACTGTTAAAATATGTAACGTTTTTCATAATACTACATAATCTAATTATTTATATCTATATTTATATTAAAAATAATTTTCTTATTGTGTTATATTGTGTATAATTTCTGTTTGTACAGAACATTTGCACAGAAGAATCTTGTTGATACATAATTTAAATGAATTGAATTTTGTTTTATATGGATTTAAAACAAAATCTAATTCATTTACCAATCCTGCCGTTTAGCACTTACCAAATAATTACCAAAATCTAAGTTTCGATGATGCTTTATATTGAAATCATTATTTATGAAAACAGTTTGAATACATTTAAATAAAATTAATGTTGTGCGCTCCTACTTCTATGAACCTCTTTTTTCTAATGCAGAAGCGAATGGAGTACAGTTATGTATGAAAAAGGTTGGTTATTAAACATGAACAAGTTTTTGATACAATTTCTTATATTTTCAATAAAACGCGTACGTTTCCGATGTACTCGTTCCCTACTTTTGTATGAACAAATTTAGGGGATGATTTTCAACAATTTTCAACGGGTTAAATAATATTTCCCTTTACAATAATTAGAGGATGTCCACTATGTCCAGTATAACTATAGTCCATTCACTTGTGCATTAGAAATATATAGTATATTATTAATAAATGTATATAGTAATAAATTCAAACTATGTATTAACATACATAATGATTTTAATATAAAACATTATCTATATTTAAGTAAAACTACTTATTAATAAATTAAATTAAATTAAATTAAAAATCACTAATCCTTTCCGCTTCGCTCCAGTTGACTCGACTGAGGTCGGAAGGATCATCCTCTCAATCGAATCCAAAGCCATAGGTTGTGACAACATCTCTCGATATATGATTGTTACCATTCTAGATTACCTCCAATAACCCATGTCATCAATTTTTCCCTTTATTCCGGTACTTTCCCTTCCCTCTGGCGTAGAGCCTTTGTCCGTCCGCTCCCTAAAGCCTCTGCTCCCACCCTTCCCTCTCAATTCCGTCCAATATCCATACTCCCGTTCCTGTCCATGGTGCTCGAGGCCTGTGTTCATAAACAGCTCTCTAGTTACATATATCGAAATACACTGATTAGTCCTCTACAATCTGGTTTCAGACCTGGCCACAGTACTACGTCCACCCTCCTTAAAGTGACTGGCGATATTAGAACCGGCTTTGAGGATACCAAAGCCACAGTCCTGGTTTTGGTTGACTTCTCGAATGCCTTCAATATGGTCAGTCACGACATCCTGTTGGCTATCCTATCCCACCTTATGGTCTCTGGCGAGTCACTGGAGTGGTTCTCTTCTTATCTTCGGGAGCGATAGCAGGCGGTCAAGCACGGTGATAGTTCATCTAACTGGCGCAAATTAAAGGCTGGCGTTCCTCAAGGCTGTATATTGTCACCTCTCTTATTTTCCATCTTTATTAACCACCACACCGTACCATCTATATGCGGATGACTTGCACCTTTACTGTCAAACCAGCTTTGACAGATTGCCGGATGCCATCTCAAAAATTAACAACGACTTATCCGCTATTAATAATTGGTCGGTAAGGTTCGGCATTGCGGTAAACCCCAAGAAGTGTCAGGCGATTGTGATAGGAAGTTCTCGTTCTCTGAGTAAGGTTGACGTTGCATCTCTACCCGCTGTCCTTTTCGACGGTGCGATCGTTCCGTTTACTAGTGACGTCAAGGACCTCGGTTTACATATTGACAGCAATCTTAACTGGCATGCACAAGTCATTAGTGTGAGCAAAAAGGTGACTGGATCACTGCGGGCTCTATATCGCGTTAAAAACTTGCTCCCGTCCAACACCAAGGCAGTGCTGGGACAGCCCCTGTTGTTCCCTATAATAGATTATGCTGATGTGTGTTATTATGATCTGAATGCAGATCTCCTCAATAAACTTAACCGACTTCTGAATAACTGCATTCAATTCGTTTTCAATCTGCGTAAATATGATCATGTTTCTGCATACCGATTGCAATTAAAGTGGTTGCCCATACGACAGCGCAGGGAACTAAGGGCGCTAACCACTCTTTTCGCGCTAACCACAGATAATGAGGCGAATGAGGCGAGTCAAGAGCAGATTCTTGACTCGCCTCATTCGCCTCATTATCTGTCCTTTCACTTCCAATATACATGCGCAAACCACAGCAAATATCTTCGCTCTTCTAATAATCGCCTCCTCCAATGTCCAACACATCGTACTAAATTTCTTCATTCATCCTTTTTTGTTCAGTCTATTCTTCTGTGGAATGCGCTCCCTCCCGATATCAGGATGGTGCCCAGTCGTTTGTCATTCAAGCGGAAGGTGCGGGAGCTACTTTTGAGGAGATTGGCAGAGTCGTAACTATCAATATACTATGTATAATTATTTTACGTCTAAGTAGTATATGTAATATAATTATGTAAGTTTATTGTTATGTCATATACATGTAAGTTTATATAGTGATTTATTTTATGGAAGTCTATACTATCCTTTTTTTTATGCATTTCTGTTGAGTCTTAAATACGCTTGCTTCTTGCATCGACCATTGTTTTTGTCTCTGCATCACCCAAAGGTCTGACTGGAGGAGAATGCCCTAGACATTAAACCCACCTTGTACATTAGTGTGTGCATGAAGTCTTTTAAAATAAAATAAAAAATAATAAAGCTGTCTAAATTGTTTTATATTCAGCTGAATATACGAAAATCTGACAAAATACGTAATCAAACTATCAGAAATCGCACTAAAATAGAAAACATAACGACCAGAATTCGTAAACTTAAGTGGCAATGGACAGGTCATATGATAAGAGGCTCCGAAAAATGGAACAAAAGCATAGTGTTTTGGTACCCTAGAAATAGAAAAAGAAAACGAGGCAGACAGTTCAAAAGATGGGAAGACGATATAAGAACAATAGCAGGAAAAACATGGACTAGAACAGCGCTAAACCGAGCAGAGTGGAAAGAGATGGAGGAGGCCTTTGCCAAAGCTGGGCAAACAGACGAAGTTGTCGGTGTCAACGACTCACCAGAGTCACAACTGCAAACTATTTTAATGTAAATACTTTGTCTGATTAAAGGCTTATATTATTATTATTATTTATTGTGTTTTAGGTAAGAACCTCACCCATTTCTGGGGAAATACACCATAGTTGCGGGCTTGTGGCCAAAGCAACCTTGGAGATGATGATTTTAATTATTAATCAATAGATAAAAACTTCCTGACAATTCGGCATGTGTTAAGTATGACAGCTTTTTGTAGAAGTGTGAATGTAAGTGGATGTAATTCAAGGGACTTTAGACTTGTATGAAGTGTTTTGGGGATGACGCCTGTACTAGATATAATAATAGGAACTGTTTTGACAGTGTGGACTTGCCACTGAGTTTTAAGTTCAATAGTCAAGTCTGCATATTTAGAAAGTTTGTTAGTATGGGTGGAACTGAGATTATGTGTGTTGGGGATCGCTATATCTATTAGGTATACTGTTTTGTTCTTCTTGTCGTGAAGCGTGTTGTCAGGCCGGTTGTGATGAATGGTTTTATCGGTGAGTATGGTTCTGTCCCAGTACATTTTAAATTCAGGTGAATCTAGGATGATTTGGGGTGTATACTTGTAGTATGGTGCTTTTTCTGCAATGAGTTTGTGCTTGTGTGCAAGTGCTTGGTGTATGATTGCTGCAACCTGGTCGTGTCTATGTTTGTAGTCTGTTTGTGTGATGGATGAGCATGCGCCTGTAATGTGTTGAATTGTTTGTGGTTGTCTGTGGCAGTGTCTGCATTGGTCACTACCAAGGGTACTGTCTCAGATTATATATTTCCTATAATTTTTGGTGTCTATGACTTGATCTTGGATCGCTAACATAAAGCCTTCTGTTTCTGGAAACAGCTAACATAAAGCCTTCTGTTTCTGGAAATATATTATTAAATTGTTTTAAGCAAATATGTAAGGGATATTGTAAAGAAACTGTTGTTGGCATCCATTTTGCCAAGTGGGCAAAATGGAAATCGAAAAAAGCAAGTAAAAAAATTACAAAATTGTCAATTTTCAACATTCCCGTCAAGCTTCCGAAAGAACCGGGCATTATCACCATATTTCCGCCTTAATGAGCGAACTATGCCATGAAGTCATGAACATTACATAAAGTATGGACACAAAAAGTCCCTACCTACCTACTTGAAACCTTTTTGAAACTATATGTCGCTTTTGTTTTATTACAAAGTGTACCCTAAAAATAACCCTGTTTTTCTTCTGTCTAATGCTACTGTGAATGGACTATAGCAGCTACTAGGTTTTGCGTTAATTCTCTTCCATCGTGTATGGAGTTTAGTTGGTGGCCTTCGTCCCGCACGTGATGTCGTGCGCCAGTAGCTCGGTGCTCAAGACGCGCCAGCTGGCGGCCAAGGCCATCGTGCCGCTCATATCGCCCGAGATGTAAGTATTCACACTACATACACTTCTTCGGATTTCGATAAATTCTCAATAACAGAACAGAGGCTAAAATAAGGCCTACCTTATTTCTACTTACCAAATGGAGCTACTGTGTTGTCGTTCTTCGTCCAATAAGAAAATAGCTAGCGTCACATCATTGACCGTTCAATATTTGACAGCTGCTGTGACTGGACAAGAAAAACTTTGTTTTTATAATAACTATTACGAGACATACTAAATTAACTAAAAGTCGCGGGTTACTCACGTGAAAATACTGAGAAAAGCTCTACTAACTTCGTCAGTAGGCCGTAGGTGCGATATCGCCGTGACCGCCTCACGATGCTTATGAGAAAGAGCCCCTCTGTGGCTCGAAACCAGTAGAGCTTTAGCGAACAAACGTTAGCCCCCATTGTAACCGGTGTATGTCAATAGGTTCTCTTTTACACGTGGGTAAGCCCTTATTTTGGCATGGCGAATGAACCGGCTGGAATGGAATGTTCCCACGATCTCATAATAAACCGACTTAAATTAGGTTAGCGCATGATCAACCCCCACCCCCACTCCCGTTTCCAAAGGCTAGAAACTGACCTGTCACTTAATTCCTCTGCTATAGCGGTTGTCAAATGTCTAGGAACAGTACTGATCACTTACCATCAAGTGATCTGTCTACTTGTGTATCACACAAAAACATGTATGATGAAGATGAATTTATTGTAAAATTGTCTTCATGATAACCAACTTGTCAGGTACATCCCGCACATAGAGTCCACACTGGAGCTGGTGCAGCATGAGCACACGAAGACCAACCACCGCCACGGACTACTGCTGCAGCTCGGCCGCCTGTTGCAGGCCGGGGCCCGCGCCGGGGGCCTGGCCGTCTGGCACTGGGGCCCGCACGTGCGGCCCGCGCTGCGATACCTGCGGGGGCCCTGCTACCCTGTCGCCGACGAACTCGTCAAACTCATCAACTTACTCGTTTTGAGGTAAGCACTCAGTATATTGATTTTTAAGTCATGTCCATTTACAATAGAACATACCTTACCAAATGATAATAGACAAAACTACATAACAATGCTTAGATTAAAAATATCATTCCAAAGAAAATGATAAAAGATATATGTATACAGGTATAGAAATAAAAATATACGAAGTTAAAACGTTAAAACATGTAATCGTCCAGACACGTCTTATAAATATTTGTTAAAAAAGCATTAATAATTAATAAAATTAAAAATAAAAGAGATACAAAAATACGTCGCTCGGTAACATTAATACTTGTGAGAAGATTCCAAAGCCTGTAACACCTTCTGTATTTTCAATTCAAGATCTTCTATTTTCCGTTCATTTTTTGATAGTTGACTTTTAATTTCGTCAAATTCGGTAATATGCGTTTTCTTACTCACAACCAGTTTTGCGTTCTTCACTATTTTCGGACCCAGTCTGTAATTCTGACAGCGTTCAAAGCAGCACCCTCCCGCGCCGCCTTCAATATCCTCATAATCGTCGCCATATTTCAGCGGCTCAGCGTGAGGAATCTCGATCTTGTTGTCCTGGTTCGGTTTCACTATTATTCTATATTTTGGTAAAAACTGCGGGAACAAACTGATTCGTTTAGCGAAAGGTTTCATGCAAAACATTTTAGGCTTTATGATGTTTAGATTTTCGAAACTGGCTGGCATCCACGACCAGCACGTGCTGGGCTTGCCGTATGAGTTAGCACTGCCAATGAGTACGCTCTCAAAGTACGATATTAGTTTAACTTGAGAAATGTGTCCCACTAGTTCTGCGTCAGCTCTGATTTCTTGAGTATCGCTTACAGCCAAACCGTTGAGTAAATTAAATAATACAATTGGAATCATAAATACAAATACAATAAATATAAAGTGACTCGTTACTGGGAATGTACTGAACTTAATAGATCCGGCGTCGAATTCTCCCGTCAACATGACTATCGTCTTAAATAACGACCTGCCTGGGTCCTCGAAGAAATCCTCTTCTTCCTCCTCCTCTTTTCCTGTACTGTTTGGATTCGGTGCTTTCTGGTCCTCGTCATCTTGTTCGTGTCGGAATAATGTATAAAAGCTCAAAGCAAATGCTATTATTAAGATACAATACCAGAGCAGAAATTTAAAGAAATTCCATGACACTGTTTTTAACATAACAATATTCGTCGATAGAGTAGGGAAGTGACCAATGAGGAGAACTAGTTCAGCGGATGATAGTAATATAGCCACCGAGGACAATTGTTGCTTAGTAGACTCTGCGGCCGAGTCGTTCCCTACTACAAGTGCGGTCACAAATATCAGCACTATTTCCATCCAATTCTCAAAACTTTGTAAATATCGTGTCGGCGCTACAAGTAATTGGAACAGCTCTCGAAATATTAGGACGATCAAACCAATTACGGCCCCAATATGAGTGATCACATTTAACGCTTCTATAAATTTCGATTGCTTCTTCTCTACCCCGTACCCCAACATAATGTACAGGATCAAGCACAATGAAAAAAGTGAATAGAAAGTTATATTGGCGTAGAACAGGCAACTTATTCTTTGCCATTTCAGATATAAGAAACTGGTAATAACTGGATGTTTGAGTAGCGGGCGCAGGTCTTCGTTTGTTGTCATGTACAGTAACGCATCCGTTTCTGGCGCTAGGAGAGAATCCAACTCTTTTTCGTTAGTACTGGAATTATCCATTAGTGGCACCTTGCAAAGCTCGTTTTCCAACGAATTGTTGGGATAAACAAGGAAACTGTATTTCATGTGTATCTCATAGTCGTCGTCACTTGCTCGTTGGTTATTAGTAGTAACACATTCATCCAAATATGCCTCTAATGTTTTCGCGTTAATATCTGCCAAGGGTGGTTCATTGAATTTGTTCCGTAAGCCCACACAGGCTCCGTTCCTCAATAACTCTAGAACTGTATCTTGGTCACCGTTCCTAGCAGCGTAGTGCAGTGCTGTGTTATATTTCATATCGGAATGATTTATGTTTATGTTTACTTTGGGGTGTTTTAATAATAGTTGTAAACAATCATTGAAGCTTTCTTTTGGAGCCTTGGAATACGATCGCATACCTTTCACAGTTATTTGTACAAGGGATTCTCCATTTACAGGATCAAATAAAGTTGATTCGTTGTCGACAAACATTTTAAGGATTTTATAGTGACCATGTTGGCAAGCTATTCCTATAGGTCTAGTGGTGTTACCGGAACATGTAGCGTTTGGGTCTGCTCCCGAGAGGAGCAGAGTCCTAACTGCTCTATACATCCCCGATTTAGTAGTCAACTGCAACATTGTGCCACTCCCGTTGTTAGCTGCCAATGCTGTGCGATGCTCATTTTTCTTAACTAGTTTTGTAAAGTCACGGATAAAATTATCTTCTTCTTCTCTGCTTATATACGAAAATAATTTATCGACATTAATTTCTTCTGGTTCTACTTCCTGAGTATCAAACTTCGCCAGTAAATGTGGAAATGCTTGTTCGAGATAATAACGTGCCGTTCTTCCTCTTATATCTTTGTATGAGTCTAAGTGAACAGGTTCCTTAGAATAGTCTAATATCAAAGTAACAACTCGTTCCAGACCTTGTTTAGCAGCAGAATGCACCGGAGTTACGCCCTTAGAATCGGGGCTATTAGCATTGCCACCCGCCTTCAACAGCAACTCAACCATGTCTTCATAGATAGCCAAATCTCGTTCTCGGTCGTCATCCAGTTCCTCAATATTCTTGATGGCCATTAATAAAGCCGTGTTACCTTTGCTTTTAATATTCACATCGATCCTGTCATCTTCTAGTAGAAGCCGTAATGCTTCGATGTTTCCATTTTCAACTGCAAAATGTATTGGAGCCATAGCGTGTGCTTCATTAACTTTATTGACTTCTACTTCGTGTTGCAGTAAAAGTTTGACAAAATCTTGTTTGTTCCGTTCAGAGACTGCTATCTCGAGACATGTTTTGTAGTCCGGCTGTTGATACACATACTCGAGATCGACTGTGCCATAGCTGACGAGTTTTTTAAAGCTTGCAAAATCATTGGTCAACAGAGCCGTCCTCAATTGTACTTGCGGATCCGAACCGAAGAGGGAACTGCCCCGTGACAGCTTCGGCTTCATCTCGTACGTGTCCCTCGTCATTGCGCTCGCAACTCTGGCATCTGAAACGTAAAATGATTGTTTTTATTAGTGATCACAAATGCTACCAATTTTCTCATTGAAGTAAATTGTTATGAAACTCGTGTGTAGTACTCCAAAACTAGTAGTTAAGGGCAATTGTTTTAATTGAAATGTATCGGCAGTGAAACATCTGGCGGACTTTCATGTACTCATATCCTATAAAGCTTTCCAAACACGGCGAAGTGTAAATGAATCGAGATACGTTTAAATCGCGTGTTTATTTGATTAACCATGCTAAATGCTCCGACAAACTCTTTTGTGAAAACGTGATAATCGTTACTCCGCATGTTCCGTTAACTATAAACGTATAAATCAATCTATGTAAGTTAATTGTTAGTCGTGCCCTATTTTTACAATGCACGTCGAACGATGCACTAGTTATTTAATATATTTACTACAAAATAATGACTGACAACTTTTGTTCCTACTTTTTGACCGAACGGTTAGCGTACCTAGTGGTTGCTGGGTAATTTGTCGCCAGTTCAATTTCCGAACGTTGCTATTTCTGTGTGGACCACAAATTGTTGTTCCGGTATATGCTATACTAATAGCATCCCCGGTACGTATCCCACAACTAGAACGATAGTGAGTTGCCTGTCATAGTTTTAAATGAGCTACTTTACAGCGCATGCAGTCGTGTTTACCTAACTGGCAATCGTAATGAAAGGGCAATTATTCCAAATTTCTCTCACAACCATAAAATTAATGCTGCGCGCGTGCGCCATGCTCGTGCTTCACCATCCAGTAATTGGATTGATTTGCGCTGTCTATTATGTTATACTTAATTGTAAAACACCATCGTAGTTGTTCTAAAAAGCACTTTATGAGTAAGGCGCAGGCGGCAATTTTGAAAGCACATGTCCGAGTGATGTAAAGTTCCCAATTTGTGAATTTTATTGCTGTACAATTGTTTGAAGTTTGAACACAGTACTTTGTATGCTCTGTTGTTTAACAATTTGCATACTGAGCACCCGCACGTTAGCTTATTTATTCGTCTTATACACACGCTATTGATAGCGATGTTTGTGTTTCGTGAATCGTACATTTCTATTGAGAACTTAATCCGCACGCCATTTTTCTATTTAATGTATAAATCGTGACAAAGAGATACAAAGAGACACTAAGTAACCTCTGTATTTGTTATGCTTGTCTCACTGCTTAAGACAATATTTGTCTTCAGATTTGTTCTGAATACACCATGACTAAAGTCCGCCTTGGGCATTGCTCATATTATAATCCTATTAGGGGCTATCGCTTCTGTATGCCTACATTAAAACTGTAGACATAAGTATATAATTGTATGTACTATGCATTCCGAAGCATTGCCATAGCACAATAATAAACAATGTAGGTTAATATAATGTTATATGTTATTACTTTCAAGCTTTGTATTTGTAGTAAAATGGGAAAACGGTTACGCGGAACGTAAACTCTTTAATGTAACAATACACATTTAATTTTATAAATATCTTGCTGTATGCAGTGTAGGCTTATATATTCTAAGCAACGAGTTTTTTGTAACGGAATAATTTCGCTCAGTACACGTCTAAAATAAAGATGAAACTAACAAAGCGTATTCGGCAAACAATAGCTGTGTGCGTCCATCGGAACAACTATCGCTATGAGATAGTCCACATGTTCGTAGCTATATTGTACCACATACAGCACTGTACGATATATCACGCGTCGCTCCGGGCACACGCGGTTTGCTATTGTGTTCCACATCGGGATCACCTGTTCATGAGGCGAATAGCCGATGGCTCAGTGCGCTATTGATTGATCGACAATGTGCCCGGCCTGTAGTT